TACTGCTCATTATTTTTGCTGTACAGGCCTACAGTCTGTTCTCATAATTCTCATTTCTCTTTTAAACCACTCAGGAACAGCATCTTGTGGTTTCATATTCTCCTTAAATTCCACCAGGTCCTCTGTTTCCTCAACTATTGAATTGCTTTCCTTTTTTTTTGGCAGTATATATTCATAGATGTCTGAACTCATTTACAAGATCTAGAGGCCACATTTCTTTCTATTGTTAATGTTTTCCATGTTGATTTATCTGCTTATGTTCAAGGTCTTTGAGTTTTCTTCTTCCTGAGATATAGCTTTGAGATTTTTTCCCTACATTATTTTCCTCTGTGGATCACTTTCTGACTTCCTCTCCTCTGATGGTGGTTTCCCTTGGGTCTGGCTCTCAAGGCATCTTAATCTCCTCCCATTCTGGACAATTTGTGTTCACCAGCTAGATATCTGCCCCAGGTGGCTTTTGTGGGGACAGAACTGGGCTCTTTTCCTCAATATTAGTGGGGTGGCACCCCCTTCCCACATAATACATGGTGTCCTGTCCCAACAACCTATCCTATTTCTTTTGTTCTTCAATTTTCTATCTGGACAGTTTAGACCTCTGTCACACTGATGTCAGTCTAGTTGGGTACGATTTCTATCATTGGGAGTTTAGATCTCTCAGGCTCTGGGAAGAGGGGGGGGTTGGGATGTGGAGTTGAATTCTGTTGCAATCCCAGACATGGGTCCTGTCCCTTTTCCTCAGTTTATCTTCTCTCTTGTAGAGATCTTCTACATCACAGAATACTTCCTCCTTGGTACTGCTGGAGGTTTTAGCAAGCTTTCCAGGCAAACTTCTGCAGCCTGGAATTGGGATCTCCACAACAGTGAAAAGAGGGAGGGGAAGCTATGGTTCAGGGTTGGGTTTTATTGCAAGCCCATGTGTTGAGTTTGTGAGTTAGCTAGTTCAGTCTTGCCTCCAGTAGTGGAGGAGGTAGGAAAGGGATGCTGAGTGAGTACAGGATAAGCATCAGTTCTTGTGGTTTTAAAAAAATTTTCTTTTGGATTCTGGGTGTCCTAGACCATAGAGATAGCTGAAGCTACTTTATCTTTGACATATGCTTTTATTTTTTGGTTTGGTTTGTAGAAATCTGAGAGGTATTAAGGATCAGAAAAAATGTCTAGCCCTCATTTGTCATGTGACCTGGACGTCTGGCACTAGGTATTCAAAATTGTGCTCATTAGGATTTAACAGCTGTTACTAAGTATAACTCCTTGAGGAAGGCCTGCTGATGTTTTGCACAGAGCAGGCACTCAATTCCATATTTGTTGAATGAGTGAATAAACTTATAAGAGAAAAATGTTCATGAATGGAATTGATCATTTATCTTATGTCATTGTGATAGAGTTAGTCAAATGGTTTAAGTATAGGCTTCCTCATCAGGGAAGGTTTTATGGATCTCGTTAAACTGTCAGTGATGTTGAGCTAAAGACCACTTTTAAAAGTATGAAGGACCTCTGAGCCTCTCAGTTCACTGAAGTTCTACTCCTTTTTCAGTACGATTGTGGCCACTAAGTGGAGCGGTGGATAGAGTCCAAGACTTGGAGTCAGGAAAACCTGAATTTGAATCCTGCCTCAGACACTTACTAGCTATGTGATGTTGGGTAAGTCACTCAACCTGTTGTGCCTCAGTTTTCTCATCTGTGCAATGAGGGGGCTGTAGAGCTGATGGCCTCTAACATCCTCTTCAACTCCAAATCTAGGAAACTATTAACTTAAGATAGAGCCCAATAGGTGGGGAAATCCCTCCATAAAATATTGACATCAGTTTGCAAATCTGTTGAAAATCCTGCATCTCCTGGACATTTGTGAGATGCCACACTCCTGGGATGGTGTCCATTTTTAATAGTCTATCCACAGTTCACGTGGAGACAAAATGTAGTCAAAAGCCTCAATCTGTTGTCAGTTGAATTCACATTTTTATCTTCAAGTATAGTTGGTTCTAGAAAACCACATATATGGGTTCCTTCCTTTCATCTTTTGAATTTCTACTTATTATTTTAAGCCCTAAACAAAAGCCACCTTCCCTGATCCTCTCTGTAGGTAACCACCTTCTGTCTTTTCACAAAACACTTAAAAAATTACCTCTCTGATGCATTTGCTATGTAATGCTGAGTATTATAGTCACCAATACTTGTGTCTTCTGTTCCTACTAGATAGCAAGCTCTCAAGAAAGTATGAGCTCTATTTTATTTAAATTCTGCATTTCCCTCAGGTTCTTATCACAGAGCTCCACACATAACAGGTGCTTAATACATGTCTAATAATTTATTTTCCAGTGTTGCTGGATAACAACAATAATAAAAAATGATAGTGTCTGACATTCAAATGATACTTTAATGGCTTCCAAAGTGTTTTGCATTCTGTTTGATGCTCTCAACAGCCTTTTAATATTTTTGGTTTGGATATTATGATTCCCCACTCAGTAAAGGAGTTAATTGAATAAGAGTTTAAATGACTTGTCCAAGGTCATACAGCTATTACAGGTCAATGACAGGATTTGAAATTAGGTCTTCTCACTTCAAATGCAGTATTCTCACATACCTGCATCTGTGTATTGTTTTATATCTCAATAAACAGCCTTCTGTATCCTGACTTACTTCCTATTAACACCCTCAGGAATCAAAATTACTTTCTGCCTTTTCTCCTACTTTTTGCTTCCTTGAAATTTTCTATTAACAACTAAATTTTGATAGATTTCTCCTGTCTAGAAAATGCTCTGCGGAATAACATCTACTAAGTACTTTTATGTTAGCTGCTAAATAAGGCAGCTTAGTACCACAAGTGGTTACCCTAAGAGCCTTAGTGTTGCCTAGGTAAATAGGCCAGAGCAAATAGGTACTTTGTCATCCTTCTCACTTCCTTCTCCTCACACAGAGGCAGGGCACAAGCCCACCAATCTTCTCTTGGTTCAGGGTAGTCACTTAGACCTTACCTAAGGTTCTACCAGGTGAAGGAGGGGAGAACTCATCACTTTAGAGGTAACCTTGAGTGCATCACTTGGGTGTGGGTAAAAGAAGAATTTGGGGTATCCTGGTTGCGTGAGAATTGGCAGCTACTTCACTGTTGACAGAGTCATCTTCATCATGTGTGGTTTAAAATAATCTCAGACATTCTCAAAGACAGATTACTGTCACCCCAAGATAATGGAGGATAAACAAACAAAAGATAGGGCATCACCTTTAGGTAATGGAAAGAAAACTGAACTCATTCAGGAGACTTCAGGTCCTCCCATTTGCCCTGAATATATCTTATATGTACACAGTTGTTTGCATGTTGTCTCCCCTGTTAGAAATGGGAGTTCCTTGGGGGCAGAGACAATGTTTTTGCCTTTCTGTGTCTTCTCCCAGTATTTAGCACCATACCACACGCTCAATAAATGCTTGTTTACTGATTTACTGACTAGTCTTGGCTCTGCTACTAAATAGCTAAATGACTTTTGGAAAACCCCTTCATCTCCCTGTTCCTCTGATTCCTTCCAGCTCAAATTCTATTTTCTAAGAGGATGAAGTGAGAAAATGAGGCTGTATCATTGTAAATCTATCACTCCTATTTGAAAAAAAAATTACATAATGCCTACCTTACTAGTGTTTGATTAACAGTGTTATTGTCACACACACACACACACACACACACATACACACACACACACGTGCTATGTGCATGCTATGTAAATTAAAGATCCCAGAGTAGTTGGGAACTGAGATGACCAAGCCACATTTTGGTGTGATATCTGTCTACCTAGGTGATTTCAAAGTACATCTAACAAAGTAGATAACCAAATGAGGATACACAATGGTCTAGATAGGCAGCTAGATAGTGGACAGAATGGATAGAGTATTGAACTTAGAGTCAGAAAGACCTGAGTTCAAATTAAGATACTGTAGTGGAGATTTCTGTTCAGGTATAGGTTGAAATAAATGACTTCTGAGACCCTTGTATCCTCAGGAGTGCTTAAGTATCTTGTAGCTTTCTTTATAAATCCATGCCTATGATTTCACAAATATAGGGAACTCACAGTGAAGAAATTCACTCCAGCATTGCAGACTATCACCTATCAAGTAATTTGCTGTCTTAGAGAGTTGGGACACTGAGAGTTTAAGTGACTGGCAATACAGCCAGTAAGTATCAGAGTTAGGATCTGAATCCAGGACTCCTAGTTTCCAAGGCAGGATCTCTTCCCTATGCTTTACTACTTATGTTATATCTTTAGAGTTTTTGTTTGGGAGCTGAGGGTAGGGTTGAAGCTGTGATTTAATTAATGTGCTCCTGGAGGAAGGAGACTCTGGGAGGGACAAAATCCATCCCACTGATACAGATGAACAAATTCTTTATTGTTTTAATTTAGAGAATTACATGGCCTAGATTATATGGTGAGTATGACTTATAGGTAGGATGTGAACCCAGATTTTCCTGACTTTAAGATAGACATTTTACTTCCTACACCACAGTGCTTCTCATGTATCAATAAGAATTACAATTAAATTTATAAAAGCTGGAGACATGGATTAATCTACCTCCAATATTTTCTTTTCTCTGCAATGAGAAAGAATTGGTTTATTCTAGCTATTCTGACCAATCTTTTACCCCTAGAAGGAAAAAAGCTAGGTACAAGGTGAGAAATTGAAGGTATAGTATTAAAGGAGGAAAGGCATCAACACTGATTCTGACACTCCTCTGTCTGACATGCCTCCTCCTTCATGCCAAACTGTTCCTGTTTTGATATAATTATGTTCCCTTAAAGAAAACAGAGAGGATGTGAATGAAGGCACAGTAATGTAATCCTTGGAGATTTGCATCCCAGAGAAAGCAGCTGGTCCTTAGATAATGCGCTAATCTCATTTGCAGTTTTGGACCAAAAAAAAAAAAAAGAAGAGGTAACAACAGTTTTGCCACAAGGGCAGACCTGAACAATACTGGAATTTCTGCTTTAGAGTCACAGCAAGTGGGGTTTGGACACACAAAGATGCTTCTGTCTGTTACTTTTTTCTTTCAGATTTTCTCTCTAATTCAGCTCCTGATAGGGATTGTTGGAAACCTATTGATCATGACAGTCAATTGTAGGACCTGGATTAAAAGTAAAAACCTTTCCTCCTTTGATATGATCCTGTCTAGTCTCTCCATCACCAGATGCATATGTCTGTGTCTAATATGCCTGTACTTATCGTCGACCTTACTTTTTCCAAAGAATGAGTGCCATAAGCTTATGTACTCTATAATTTTGACCGCCTGGTTATTCTTGGATTCCTGCAGCCTCTGGATTGTGACCTTGCTCAACATCTTTTATTGTGTGAAGATTGCCAACTTCAATCATTCTTCATTTCTCTGGCTAAAGCGAAATATATCCTTGAAGACACCCTGGCTGTTGCTAGCATGTCTACTGGTTCCTGTCTCTTCACATTTTCTGATTATGTTGGTCAGCAAAATCCCTAACTTCATTGGTTCCTCTAAGGAGAACGTGAGGAACAGCACCATGGTCCACACCAGTGGCTCCTTCCTTGTGGTGGTCTCTCTAGGATTGAGTTTCAGTCTCCAGTTTGTCATCAATTTGGTTTCCTGTTCCTTGTTAATCTCTTCCCTGAGGAGGCATATACAAGAGATGCAGAAAAATGCCAGCAGCTTTTGGAACCCCCAGACTGAAGCTCATGTAGGTACTATGAAAGTTATGATTTATTTTCTCATTCTCTATGTTCCTTACTCCATTGCTCGACTGATTACCTTTTTCCCTTCCTATGGGATAAAAAATTATTGGATCAAAGGCATATCAACAATGATCAACTGCACTTACTCTCCAGGACATACTATCTTCATTATGCTATTGCACCCTAAACTCAAAGCAAGAATAAAGAACATTCTATGGTGCAATTGAAGAGCATTTTGTGAGGAAATCTAGACTTCAGTGAGCCTCTTCTAACCTGAGGATCTAGGCCAGCTTTCCATTGCATTCCAGCTCTTCATAACCTGCCCCCTTCTATCTTTCCAGTCTCCTTACATTTTACTCTCTCCAATCCCCCACTTTGTAATTTAGTGACACTGGCCTCCTTGCTATTCATTGAAAAAGACACTCCATCTCCAGACTCTCGGCATTTTCACTGGCTGTCTTCCGTGATTGTAATCCCTCTTCAGCTCTGCATCCTGGTTATCCTGGGTTCCTTCAAGTCCCAGCTAAATCCTATCTTCAATAAGAAGACTTTCCCAGTTCTTCTTAATTCCAGTGCTTTGTTTCATTGACTATCTTCAATTTATCTTACATATATCTTTGTACATAGTTGTTTACATGATATCTCCCCCATTAGAACTCCTTGAGAGCAGAAACTGTTTTTTTTTTAATTTCTGTCCTTGGAATTTAACACAGTGCCTTGCATAAAATAGATACTTAATAGATATTTGTTAACATGATTTGTCTTCAGCATAGCTTTATTTTTCATCTTTTGAAATTATTTTTGGTGTTTCTAATTTTGCATATTTCATATTAACCTTTTAGCATCTATGTTCAATTTAATTTGATTTAATTCATTCTGGGAAACATTTACTTAGCACTTAGTATGTGCAAAATGCTACCTATGTTCTGGGGTTATTAAGGTTGAAACAACAAAAACTCTGATCTAAAGGAGCTGACATAACTCCACACAGTTCTGAATGTTGAATACATTGGCTCCATACTTTTCACCTGTGTCACTGATAGGTCTGAAATTCATGCAAAGAAATAGAAATGGGCAGATGAGGAAGAAATGCAAGTGAAAGAAGAGAAAGAAAGAAACCAGGGAGACATAAAGAGAAGGAAAGGAAGAAAAAAAAAGCACACGTAATAAGAAATATATAAACAAACTTCATTCAGGTGCCCTGAGTGCCCTGAACCTTCAGTTCCCAGATTATTGATTGGAAAGATGAGGGGTACAAAGTTGAAAGGTAGAAGAAAGTGGGACTGTCTTCTCTAAATAGGATGATTCTTAGGACTTTAGTGATCACAGATCTTTATTTAGACTGGAAATTAATATCAAATAATAAAACTAATAGTATTAACAGAAATATATTTCCTGAAGAAGTAATAGGATGCAAGTGTGATGGCAAGTGTGAGCATTTGTCTTCTGGTGCCGTTGTTGTCATAGCTGTCCTCATTGTTACCATGTGTCATGCTCATCATGAACGCCTGTATTGATGTATGCATTATGCACATGCTATGCTTCTTTCCAGGAGATTGGGGCAAATCTCAGTTGTGGTGCAACAGTTCTTTTGGGTGTTGAAGAGAAAGTAGTTTGGGGCAAGGATGGGAGTTTGAGAAAGAGATATGGAAGGGTAGGTGAGAGGACAATACACAAGAATGGGGCAGTGTCACACAGACTTCCCTTTGAGGGAGACAGTCTGGGCAAGATGCACCCTGCCTAAAAAGGTGCATTTGGGACAGCAAAGGAAAGGCTGTTGAGTGAAAACCATTGAATGAGGGACCACTCTAGAAGTTGTATTATATCCAAGGGCAGGTGGGATGGAGAGAGCGGACACTTAGGACATGGACATGTAGTCCCTGTGTTTGGTAGGTGAGGAGCAGGTATGAGAAGGACAAGGATCCTGTCATATGAGGTTCTTTTGGGCACAAGATCATTTCCTGCCCTAATCCAGCCCATTCCTTAACAATTTCTCTCCCCATTCCCTCTCCATTGTCACCATTCTAGCTAGGCAGCTTCTGGAGTCAGAAAGACATGAGTTCAAATACAGCTCAGACACCTAGTAGCTTTGTGACTGGGCAAGTCACTAAACTTCTCCCTCAGTTTACATAACTATAAAATGGGAATAATAATATTCCCTACAATATTCAGCACCTACCTCCCAGGCTTGCTGTGAGTATCAAATGAGATAATATTTGTAAAATGCTTTAACATGGTGCCTGGCACGTAATAGGTTCTTAATAAATGCTTGTTTTCTTCTTCTCCCCCCCTCCCTTCTTATTCTAAAACCGGTTGCTTCAGTCACTGCTTTAGAATAAAATACAACGTGACACCATAAACATTTGTTAAGTGCCTCCTGTGTGCAGAACCATGTGCAAGTTACTGGGGAGGATGGAAAGTTTGCATTAGACACGAACCTTTCCTTCAAGGAGCTTACAGTTCAGTAGAGGGATAGAACACCAAAACAGGTAGCTGTAATATGCAACATTAAATGTAAAGTGCATTATTTATAACAATATATAGCATTTATATAGTGTTTTAAGTTTTTCTAAGTGGTTTCCATAGGTCACCTTGTTCGATCCTCACAACTCTGCAGGGTAGGTGCCATTATTATTCCCATTTTACAGATGAGTTAACTGTGGCTGAGAGAAGTTAAATGACTTGCCCAGGGTTATATAAACAATAAGTGCCTGAGATAGGTTTTGAATTCAGGTCTTCTTGGCTCCATGTACAAGACTTTATTCACTTTGTCACTTAAGTGCTATGTGAAGGCTAAGAAGGAAAGTTGTTATTAACTGGGGGTGGAGATGAGGTGGGGAATGAAAGTCTTGTTGATTTTCCCCCCATGACATCTCTCATATCTATCTCCTCTCTGCTCACACAGTCATTATCCTAGTTCAGGCCTTCTAAGCTTTTAGTTTGGACTATTACAATAGGCTCCTATTTGGTCTCTCTGCCTCTAGCTTTTCAACTTCTCAAATTCATTCCTCACACAGCTGCAAAAAACTTAGGGGTTGTGTTACAGGAAGCACACTAATGCACTGTTGGTGGAGCTGTGAGTTGGCTCAACGAGGCTGGAAAACAATTTATAACTATGCCCCCAAACCACTAGACAGTACATGTTCTTTGATCCAGTGATACCACTATTAGGCATGAACACCAAGGAAGAGAGAGAAACGACCCATGTGTACAACGAATATTTATACCAGCACTTTCTCACTATAGAAAAGAACTAGAAACAAAATAGATGTCCATCAACTGGAGAATGGCTGAACAAATTGTGTATAAGGGTGAGGGTAGGTATGATTGAGTCAGCCAGTAAACTACCCCACCCCACTTAAAAGTAAATACTTTAACTACATAACAAGACATTTATTGAGTCAATCAATCAAAGGCTATAGACTAAATGTGAGAAGTCCTTGAAAGACATTTGATGAGATGAAGCAATGCTTTACAGTAGGTATATTGAGATTTCCTGAAGAAACAGAGTTTTCTGTGAAATAGCAAGCCAGTTCAGAACCCATGTATTATAATGGAATTTTATTATTTCCATAAGAAATAATGAAAGGGATGGATTCACAGAAACCTGGGAAGACTTGTGGGAACTAATGGATACAGAGAAATGAACAGAATTGGGAACAAATTTTATAATAACTACAACATTGTAAAGAAAAACAGTTTTGAAAGACTTGGAACCTCAGATAAATGCAATGTCTAGTCACAATTCCAAAAAGCCGGGGATGAAGCAGATTACTCACTGCCTGACAAAAAAGTGATAGACTAAAATGAAATATACATCTTTGGATGTCTGTATTTGTTTTGCTTGACTCTGCAAACTTGTTAAAAGAGAGAGTATTTTTTTTTGAGGGGGAAGGATTTGGAGGCGGAAGAGAGAGAAATTGATGCCAAATAAAGGAAGAAAGAAAAGAGTATTAATGTAATGAAACTGCGCAAAAGAGATTGGAAGACAATTCAGAAGGCAACATAAACAAGTGAGACAGTTTTAGAACTAATACAGAACTGAGTGTATTCTTTTTTAAAAAATTCCAACTTGTATGTAATAAGATAAATTGTTTCATATGCATTCTTTTTCTGTTCTTGTATTATGGAAACTTTTGTGTTTGGTGGTATTTGTTAAATTCAGAGTAAAAAAAAGTTAAAATAAAAAATTATTGTGCTTTAAGAAATGATGAAAGGGACAGATTCAAAGAAAGCAAGAAAGACTTATATGAATTGTTGTAGATTGAAGTGAGCAGAACTAGGGCAAGACTTTATACAATGATTACAATATAGTAAACTAAAGACTTAAGAACTCTGATCAATACAGTGACTAATCATGGCTTCCCCTCTCCTGAAAGAGGTGATATATTGCAAGAGCAGAGTGAGACTTAAATTTTCAGACACAACTGATGTGTGAATTATTATTATTATTTTTTGCTAGACTCTATTACATGCAAAAGCTTTCATTTTTTTCTTGGAGGGTGGAGGGGAACCAGGACAGTTGAGGGTGAAAGTGATAATGATTCCAAAAATAAGAAGGAAAAGAAAGAAAAGAGTGTCCATGCCAACGAAACATAGGAAAAAAAATTACAGAAGAGAGCAGAATGAAGTTCAGAAGGGGATACAGCAAACAAGATAGTGTGGTTATTGCTGTGTTAAATTTGATATATGTTTTAAAAAAACAAAATTGTATGTAATAGAGCGCCCCAGTTTTACATACAACCCTTTCTATTCTTCTTTGTAAATGGAACTATTCATGTTTGTTTTGTTTGTCAATTTCATAATAAATTAAAAAAAAGTAAATGTACAATGCTACTATGAAGCTTTCCTGTTTATAGATTTAGCATTTTTTCTCTGAAAATTGTAATTTCTTTTTTTATATCATGAGTTCTCTTACCCATGACAGTTCAGGGTCTTGTCATGTATTAATGTGACCTTTCTGGAGTACCTGGCTTCTATTTGTTGGTATCTTTGGGACTAAGATTGTGGCTGTGTTTCATAGAAAGCCCCAAGGAAGTCTATAGATTGTGTGGATACAGATCAAGGAGAGATTGTTAGCTCAGAGAATGCTTTCCCTGGGTACAGCCTTGCGAGCTCTCTTAGATAGCAGCATCTGGATTTACTTATAGCCTCATCCATCCTTGATGAAAGGGAAAATTCTACCTCAATGGACCAATGTCATTCCAAGGGGCCCTGGCACCTTAGT